GAGGTGTAGTGGCGACTCGGCATATGATTCTCGGCTTTACCTCAGTGGTGAGGATCGGGCCGATTTCTTGCATTGATTAGTTTCGTCACCCCATTTTCTGTGGCGACCAGTGCGGGTCATCGCTTGCTTTTGGGATCTGCACCCTTCCGTCGAGCCCCTTCTCAGATCGGTGCCCCCTTTCCGTTTTGTTACATGTACAGTTTACTTTACGATTATTATTTTGCGTGTCTTGACCATATTAGCCGGGTTGGTCCTTTTGGTTGGTTCCCGTTTTGTTCTAACCCTTTCTGCATGCACTTGCTTTCCTTTTGACAACCTTATGTGTTGGACCCACAGGTATCCTCTTGTCCCGCGCACCCTACACCCTTTGGGGTGGTAGGTGCGCCCAATACCCTTTTTTTTTTCTGCTCATGGCTATTTGCGAACGCCTGAACCTTGCAGTTCACGACGGCCGCGCTGCCCGCCCCCCACGCGCCCCGCTCCCAGACGCCCAAATTTCATCGGCAGACATGTGATTGTTCACCACGGAGCCCGTAAGTACCACCCAATAGACTAGCGCACGCCGTGCTGCAGGGGCGCAGCATCGCGCGAACGGGACGTCCAGCCCCCCGGGCCTCCAGCCGGTCGACACCCCGCCGTCACGGCGGGCTGCGGGGCGCCCCTCCCGCGCCCCCAGCCCTCGGGCTTGGCCGCAGCCCTCCAACCGACCCCAGCCGCCACCAGCGCCACCACGCCCCCTGGGGCGACCGCGACGGCGCCATGTCCGGCGACCCCTACGAGTACTGCCACAGCCACAATGTTACGTACGAGAACTACAATCAGTTCTACGACAAGGGTACGTGCTACGGGGGCGCGGATTGGGGGCGGCCCGGATCGAGTGCCCCGTCAGACCTGTCCCCGCATCTGTTCGCTGCGGCGCCATTGCCGGGCCTGGCCCCAAGGCCCCATCGTCGATCGGCATTTGCCGGCGGCTAGCCTTGCCCCCGCCGCACCGCGATGCGGCAATGGCGATCGCGCCCGTGGGCGGGGTTGCCCCACGTGGCGAGGGAAGCAAGCCGCGCTGACGGGGGCCATCTGCGGCTGGGATCGCATCGAGCGGACAAATTGCGCCCCAGGCTGCCGTGCGGCTCGTGTCGATCGCGGGGATCCGACGGAGTTGGTGAGGGGCCGGCGGGGCGCCGCCGCGGGCGCCCCGGGGCGCGTAGCCCCTCGCCTGCAGCGCCGTGCGGCCCGTGGGTGGCACTTGATGGAAGTATCGCAGAGGGTGCCGTAGCCGGAGGGGCCCCCGAGCGATACGGCGCCGCGGGCCGACTTTGGGACACGCACTGCGAGATTGGAATGAAGGGGTTGGGCGATGCGTTGGTTTCGCTGTCGGCCAGGGGCGATTGGGGCCTCGGCCGTCATAGTGCTGCGACGAATGGTGCGCGCCACACTTGTGTGGCCGCCGATGCGGCTACGATCTGGTTGCCAAATTGTGACCGGCACGATGGAGACGACTCACACATATTGCTCGTGTACATTGTCGCGCTGGCACGTGATTGTGCGATACTTGCCCCCCTATCCCCCCCCCCAAAAAAAGGAAAAGGTAAAAATGATCGATTTACCGTGGAGAACGGGAACGGCAAAGCACCAGCCAATGCAAGCAGCACGTTGTTGTGTTGCATTGTGTTTTTTGCATGGTTTATTGTGTGCGCTCGCTTGTCCTATCGTAGCAGCATTCGAGTGCCATCAGTTTCAGTGGTCAAGGCCCCAGGGGCTGGAACCTAACCTTATCAAGGCAGCTGTGGTGCCCATGCATCCGGTGGGGGCCAATCTCAAGCTTGAGACTCAGGCACAAGTCTGTGTCCACATTCTTTGGGGCTTGGCCAACGACCTGCAAGAGGCAATAGTGGGGCAAGGATAAGAATTTTATTCACTGTTAGCGATTTGGCATATGAAGCCAGTGTTGGTGCCATTGATGCAGGCCCCAGGAGCCCACCAATCCCCAACAACGTGTTGGATTAGGAACGAGGCGCAGCACATGCTGTGCACTGCTATCTTTGTACTTCCAAAATACATGGACCACACATGCTGCTGGCCACTTTTGTGAATGGGCCACAAGGACAACACGTCGCCTGCAAGATTTGTAGATTACAGCGCGGTCATAAACATTGTCATAGTCACAGTCATAGTCGTAATATTGTTCTTGTTGGAATCCAAATATGGCTGTGAGCCCAGCTGCATTTCAATTACATTCTATGGGGAGGAGCCTTGCTGTAAGTTTTATGGGTGCGAAATGTGTGATAAATCAGGAATTGAGGGGTGCTATGCAAGGCGAATTAAGCCGCAGCAATGCTTGCAATCTTTAAAACAGCAGGGCAGAAACAAGCGTTCTGTGACGTTTTGCTGGTGCTGAATGCTGAAAGATGTGCGCAGAGTTGAAAAACTGTAATTCAAATATCTAAGAATGAAACAACCATGTCCAAGGTCCACATACTCACAGCTCGTTGCTTTTTCTCCCTACAGAGCACTTCAATTGGTGTCATGTCCTTGATTCTGGCTATGATACGATCCTGTTCGCCAGTGTGGGTGTGCTGATCGCGTGCATCGTGCCACGAAAATGGTCAGCCATTGTTGCGCTTTTGGCAGGTAGGCCCCCGCTGGCACGCTGTTCTCCATTTTGCATGGCGTGCTTTCTAAGCACATGATTTTCTTGTTGCATTGTGGAGTTCAGTTGCTGCTGTGTCATAGCAGAGCAGTGTTATTGTTTTTTTTTGCTGTGGCAGAACAGATTTTGGTCTTTGGCTCGTTTGCGATTTTACAAGGCATGAAGACAGGAAGATTGTGGAGTAGTCAGGAATGGACACGTTTGTCATTCAACACTTCATTGCTTGCTGTCACCAGACCTCAATTCCTCCGATTCCATAATTGAATTCATGGATACAGTTGAGTTTGCCATGTCGATGCAAGGATCCGTTGCCAGCGTTAGTCCAGCTGCACAAAGACGTACTGACATCACTTCTTGCAGAATGGAAGCAAGTTTCAATTTTGTTTTAGGAAGGGGATGCCACTTGCAGGACACAATAACTTGCTGTAAATCACTGGATTGACCTGCAGGCAATGCTGGCTCAGATTTGTTCTTGATGCTGAGCCCAGTGCTTAATGCAGTACTCGCACGCAATCTGCGCAAAATTACTTCTCGTTTTAGTGGCGATGTGCTGTGCTCTGCTGTGGACTTTCTGCTAATGGCAGCTGCACTCGTGGCTCCTGCATGGCTCTATTACTAATAATGCAGCCATGAAGTAAAGGCATATCCCTTCACCTTTGGGTCCTAGTCGTCCATCAAGATGATGGCAGTATGGCTCATGCATTTTGTTGGTTGTTGTTGATTGTTCTGAGTTGTTATGAGTAGCACATATGTGAAGTGTAACAGACCCATCCACTCCCATTTGACTGTAATTTCACTTGGAGGTCTGTCATTTGGGTAGCCAACCTGTAGGTCATAAGTTTGTATCTTGACAGGCGTCATGAAAGTATAATTTGGGTATTTGTTGTCTTGTATCTGGAGTGAGTGTTGATTTGTGGAGATGTCCTCCCATTGGAATACTCCTGGCTGCTGTTGGTGACGTTTGACATGCTGCGATCGTATGCTTCACATCAGGCGGCCTCCTGCAGTCACTGAATTTGGAGGTCAACCTTCTGAGCTTCGGCAACTCAATGAACCTGTGGCTGGGGATGCAGCCAGCAATGCTCTTCTTCTACATCTTTCTACCTCCCTTGTTGCTAGAAGATGCTGTTCGGATCGAATTTTTCGTCTTCAAGAAGGTGTGCTGTCATCAACAATTAGTCTGATTGTCCTTGTGGAACCATGATTTCGTTGCTGCTGTACCCCCAGGTCGTCGTTGCAAGACTATATTCGAAATACCACTGTGAACAACCATGTGCAGCAGTTTGCGAATTCTTGCAATGGTTTCCATTTGTTGTGTTTTTTTGCCTTGTTGGCAGTACATGAGGACAAGGTAGTTAATGCATGTCCAGCAGTGGAGGCGGAAGTTGGCTGTGGACCATCAATTGAAGTCAACTGAAGCCAAAATGAACAGACTGTTGACAAATGGATGTTTGAAGTTGACATGCAAGCAAAAATTGTGATCATGGTTGGGGCAGCAACAGAATTGTGCCCTGGAATTGATTATAAGCCCGGGGCTGCACACCGGTTTGCTCGTTGAAATATTGTAGCCAGTGTTTGGCGGAGAAGGCAGGGTTCGTACTTAGTTGTCACATCACCTGGCAGACATTTTGCTTTTGAGCTGTTGATTCATGAAATGTTCACAGCCTGGACTCACTTCTGGCAGATTCGTGAGCAATTTGGTTGTTATGAGAGCCACTCCTGATGTGCTTGTCCAGAATGTTAGGCATTCACAGCAATGCCACTCAAACTCATTTTTAAAAACTTTGCAGGCCAAAATTTCAGGGAGAGCGCTGCCATTTACCACATTTTGCCATGTTTCATGCAGCAGCAATGCAGCACTCATTCTGTACAGAATTTGCTGCTGTTGCTGCTGCATATGCGGATGTCTGAAATGACCATCAACGAGCAAGTTATCTTGTCTCTGCCCAGCTACAAACACACTTAGGAGATGCATTCGTTCACTATCGACTGCTTTTTGTAGGTCATCCTCCAAGTGTTCGTGTTTGCCTTCTTGGTGGTGGTCTTCAGCACTGGGCTGATATCTGCATTCATTCGCCTTGTCTTGGGCAATTTGAGAGAAGAGTTTGAATGGTCATGGGGCCATTCTTTGCTGTTTTCCTCCATGGTTGGCATCACTGACTCTGTATCAGTGTCAGCAGCACTGCACCAAGGTATTCCTGACCAGGGGTGTGGCATTTTGTTGAAGAATGAAAGTGCTTCATGAAATGCTTCAACAACCTGAAGAATTGCAGCAGCTTATGGTGTGTTGTGTTGACGTTACAGTTCCTGAGCACTCACAGGACTGGAACAGCAAATTCTTGATTGTCTTTTTACTACTGCAAAGCAAGTGGCGATCACGTCAAAATCGACAATTGACAGCCTGTGATTGTGGCTATTGCTATCTGCTATTAATGGAGCACGCAAAGAGCTCGTGCTGCAAAGCACGGTGGTACATATTGTAAATGAACAGTTCACTGTGTCGTCTTGTAGCTGGCTGGGTGGCATTTGTCCTCGAGTGGTAAACACAATGTACTCATGACTCACGTGATTTTTCTCCTCTGCATTTGTTTCTCTTCAAGTCGTCATTGTGCCCTGATGACCACATCGTGCTGTGTCATGGATAGGCGGAGGCCCAGAGCATTTGATGGTCCTCCTTGAAGGGGAGTCACTTTTCAATGACGCGACGGCGATCGTGCTCTTTGATGTGTTTCGCAAGTACGTCAGCAGTGGTGAGAAAGATGGCAACGTGGCCTTGGGCGAGTTGATTCTGGACGTCACCAAAGAAATTTGCAGACTGGCATTGGGAGGCATCATCGTTGGTCTTGTGACAGGAATCCTGACAAGGTGAGCTCACGAACACCATTTGTTTACCCCAGCAGTGCAGAACTCACCAATGTTGACTGAGTTGAATAGAGCTGCTAGCCCTTCCAAACAAGGTAGTCAACACCGCATCCAACAATATATTTGTTCCGTATTGCTAATTGAAATGTTCATTGTTGTAGGGCCGGTTTACATCCCTTGTAACTGCTAGTGTGATCTAAGGTTGCCCCCACGATGACTCTTACCACCAAGGACAAGTTGCCCACCAAAACCGTCAAACTCTACTGTTATCCTGCTGCTATCTTTCACTGCCTTACCTTCCCAACCCATGTGTTGCCCAATTGGGAGTGCTTATGATCATCCCTTGCAGGATGGATATACTACAGCTATCTTGGCCTGGGGCACTGACACACAGTTCCATAACAGTATTGCAGAGTGCTGCACTGACAATTGTGTGTGGTGGTAAGTTTTTTGCATTTGATTGAATATCTTCACATAACAGAAAACTGAAATGTCCAATCTGCCATCCAAAGATTGCATTTGCTGAGGAGAATCCCCCCCCAGCTTCTCAGTTGCCCCACCTGGTTCGTTGTTGCAGATACATCCTCAAGCTTCTCCAACGCCAGAAGAAGTTCATGCCCGCTGCTGAAGTTGGTGTCACCATCGTTGGCTCCTATTTGAGCTACTACCTGGCGAATGGGCCCTTTGACGTGTCAGGTGCCACAGCCGTGGTCGTCTATGGACTCTATGGATCGGCCACACTGTACTGGGAGATATCACCACAGACAAGGGAACTGAAGATGTTCCGCCACTTTTATGACATCTTCACCCTGATGATCAATGGCGTTGTGTTTTTCTTCGCCGGAGCCTCCGCAATGAACTTTTTCGTCAGGTAAAAATGGTGGATTCCAGACAATGATACATGGATACCTTCATTGAATTAGCACATACATGGTACTGCATCGCCTGTGCACCCTTCAAGGCACTGGTGGTTATGATTCCATACACTATACTTCCAGAATATCCGCTCATTTCCCTGCAGAGAATTTGCCAACGGTTGTGGCATTAGGGTAATGCCACTATCCATGCCTCATGAATGGCAGTTCTGTATGTGGTTGGACACAGAACAGATGGTGAGGAGCAGGTTTGCCCATTCATGTGGTTGGTCACAGGACAGGAAAAATTACTGCCCTCGCATCCATTAAGTGATGTTGAGCACTGCCAAAAGCAGCAGTTGACAGTATGAACGTTAATCGCATCTCTGTTCACCCCTTGTGGTGAAGTTGCTACAGGCTTTGCCGCTGGCAACAGGAAAATTCCTGAATGAAGGGACTGGTTGCACAAAAGAAAGGCTGCAGATTGGATAACAAGTTTGATATTGTGAATTTCGTCCTTGTGTGTGGTGCGTCAAACTTGTGCCTCGAATAGCTGCCACACATCTTCCTTTTTTCCAAATTATTACATCACAATCAAAATTCCAAACTTGGAATTATTAAGACCTTTGGTTGCCTACCGCTGTAGCAGATTCTATTTCATGTACCTCTCAAATCTCATCCTGATTCGGGTGAGTGTGTTGTTTCCCTGCCAATTGGACTGGTGGGTCCATAATTGTTGAAATGCTCTTGCAGGCGACTCTGCCTCCTTGCTGCAGTGCAGTTGAAGTTATCAACTTTTTTGGCTTTGTTTTAATGTATTGCTCGCTTCTGTCTATTCGTTTCACTGCTTCAGCTTCATCACTACTAGCTGTCAGTTGAATTGGTTTTTTGGACTTTGCTGTGATGGGCTCAGGACTGCAGAGAACTTGGGCAAGCGTGACGATTGGAGCACATTCTACGAGACCGTCATGTTCCTGCCTGTGATCTATGTCGTCATCTTCATCCTGCGCTATTGGCTCATATACCTCATCAGCCCCATCCTGAACTTGAGCTCTGCTAAGTTGTCCTGGAGGGATGTGACTTTTGTGTGCATGGCGGGCCTCAGAGGCACAGTATCGCTCATTCTGGTACAAGAGGTGGTGACACATTCCAGCCCCCACCAGAGTGATAGGACAAATAAGGTAAGGCAACAGTTGAAGCAGAAGCGAAACTCCTCATGAACCAGACTCGAATCAGCATCCTTGCATGATCACATGAGAAAGTCAAATTTCTTCAGGAAGAGAAGTCAGGCAATGCAATAGGTTCCCATCCCCTGGTGGGAGCACTGGGAACTCTTGCTACCTAAGACAAAGATTTAGAAATTTGCCATGCAAATGAGCAAACATTTCGTATTGATCAAGAGGATATTGGTGAGCGAGCGCCCCACCTGCCGACACAACCATCAGCTGAATCTGTCTAGCTTGGACCCCAAATGAAGAGGTGAGATATGGAATTACCAATTTTGATTCACAAATGTTTGCAAAGTGTTTCTGGTACTTGCAGAGATGGCCCCAAAATGACAGCTCATATGCCTGCATGGGTAGGATTCCGCACTACCATCACAGTGGTGTGCAAGGCTCTGTCAGCTGTGCGATCAACGAATGAAGTTGCTTCGAACTTGGACTGCTGCCTGCATGTGACACATTATGGGCATCAGGAATCCCCCTCACTGAGACATTTTGAAAGCCCCCATGTTTTGCAAGATCACAGAGATCTTTATTTTTAGTACTGTGAAGTACAAGTTGCTGAAGTGTTTTATTGTCTGGGTCGTGCACCTGGGTTGTGCTTCCCAATCCAATCATTTGAGCTTCAAGGCTGTCGCTACTCTGAATCACAGGTGGCAACGCCTTCAATCACAACCACTTGTTGGAAAGATCTCGCTACGCGCCCAGGTGAGGGTTTACAATGTTTTGCCTGTCTCATCATGGCATCTGCCAAAACGATTGCCATGTTGTGGTTGTCCAGATCCAGGCCGAGATGTCGCTGTGGACATCCGGCTTTGTGCTGATGACCATCGTCATAAATGGGCCTATGATCCCCTACCTGTTGTCATGCCTGCGCCTCAACACTCCCACCGTCATCCAACGCCAGATCAAAGTGAGGGCCGAAAGGGCACTGACAAACTACACAGAGTCGTTCATCAAGGCGATCAGGGGCAACAAGGATGAAATGCTGCGTGGGGTGAACTGGCACAAGGTATGCACCGCCTTGTTCAGCACCCTTGGTTTGATACGATGAAATGGTGCCCAGACAACTCAAAGGAGATATGTGGTGATAGTTGCGGCTGCCCAGTGTGTTGTGACCCAGATGGGGTGCCCCGTGTTGATGTGAAGTATGCACAGGTGCAAATACATTCCTTTGAGACATTTAAGTGAATGGGTTGTTATAGGGGGAGGGGGGTGGAGTGGGTGGGTGGGGGGGGAGGACTGGCAGTGTCTACCCTGTGCAAAATCGTATTGAGTTTCATCGTGCGGAAAAACGTTTGGCTGCCTAAGCCACTGAGGAAGTGTGTGAATGCTTGTTGCATTGACCACATTCAAGGTAAACAATCAGTATCTAGTTGATATCCTTGTTGCTCCTGTTTTCTTGCATGAACTTTTCCTGTTGTGCTTGCAAAAACTGCATCGAACTTGCTGAAAGAGTGTTGAAAGCGAATTGTTCATGACATGACAGCACTACTCGATTTCCTTCAACAAATCCATCTTTGTACACTTTGCTCAATGTTTTTTCCTATAATGGACTAATTTGCATGTTGTGAACATGCACAAGGTGAGGGAGTACGTGTGTGACAGCGAGACTGTTGAAGATGATGTACCACAGCAATTGTCCAAAGCCAGGTCCCGAGGCAAACTGCTGGACGCAGAAAAATGGGACTTATTGGAGTCCATGCGGTGCGTTAAGGCCAACAGAAAATGCAAAGAATGGCAGTACATATTTGTGTAGGTATTCATATAAAGATTGCTGAAGAAAGCAAAACATCACGTTTGCACCAGTGGTAGCCTCCTCTCTTCCTTCATCCAAGGTGGCCATGTTGACACTATTCTCCTTCTGTAGTATGTTGAACAACGAGCACAGCATTACCTTCAAAGCATCTTGGAATCTCCAAGTGCATCAGAAAATGTGTACAACAACAATTCGCACAAAGATCATGGAAAGACTACTCATATAGGGTGTTGGACATCCCAAACCACAGCATACTGCCCAACACAACGTCTTTATGTGTTCTACTTGTTACTTGCTTGCACAGAGGAGTCGAGATATTGGTGTCAGCTGTGCTGCATACAGAGTTGCAGTGCCGTACATGTACTGTTCCCTGCATTGTTTTTCAGCATATCAACACACCAGCCACCCCAAGACCAGTTCTTCATGCAGTTGGAAATTTCCAGAAGGAGGCACAAGCGAAGTTACCTGTGGACAAGCAATTTCAGTTCATTTGTCACGAAGCTTTGGTGAGAAGCATCCAGTTTGTGCATCAGAGATTGTTGTTCTGGCTGGCAATGCATCGAAGAGTGGCTTTGTCCCCATGCCATGCCACAGCTTGCAAGAAGCCGTGTCCCTGGCAGGCAATAGGCAGGCACTGCAGTCATGATTGCTGGACATGCTGTCGACTAACCCATGACATGTGGGGAATTTCGCAGGGCACCACTTCTTGCAGGCCACAGCTCTGGCGAAGTCAGAGGTACGCCGCAACCTTCAGCATCTGTGACCATAATTTTTTGTTTCCAAAGCACATGGCAAGGGCCCCAGCTCAGGAAATTGAATGCTTGCGCTGAACCCGCCGTCCAAATATTTTGTAGTTTGTGTAACTCAGGACATTTGCTGCAGGCATTCAGTGTTTGGTTCAGCCGTTGCTTGTGGCTGGCAAATAATGAGCATCTGCAATGCGACCTTTGCCTTCTGGCATGCTATGGATGCCAATCGGTCCATTTGCAGTGAGAGTGTGATGTGCAGCAGGAAGTTCTTCATTGGAACACCTAACAGGAGAGCATTTCTGCCATTGTCTGTTTCCTGAATCCTGCTGCTGGTGCTGAACAGTGCAGATGTCACCAACCATCCCATGCCCATGCATTGCAATGTCACAAAAGATGTCAACAATAGATGTGTTGGCAGTTATCTTGGCTTCCACTCCCATTGTTTGTCAGTAGGACAGCACTGTTCGAGGATATCGCTCCAAGCCATAAACAGGTTTTGACTGTCAAGGGCTCAACCACGTGTCAGCAGATGTGGCATCAGCAGTCAAGGCTCCCAATGACTGGGAGGACAAGCAGACTTGCATATTACCCTCATACTATCCTGCAAGGCTTATTGTGTTGCTTGGCTGCTGTTGTTGTCAAGATGCAGCAGCGTCCTCCAATGAGGGGGATCGCATCAAGGCTCTGGATGCGCAGCTGCAAGAGCGCAACGATGACGATGACGACCTTGCATTTGCCATGACCTCTCCTGCAGTGAAGTACAAGCAGGAAACTGAGCTACCTCAGGGACACACTGAGCAAACTGTCCTTGCTCCTCGCCCTGAAGCAGTGAGTAGAAAATGCATTTGATGCAACATTAGTCTGCCCAAAAAACAGACAACTGGCCCAGGATGACATGCGTTCAGCTTGCACTGTTCACACACGAGATGCTGCACCCAGAGGCCCGGTGGCCCAGAGCACATGGTTCCTACTGCAAGCTTAGCCTTGGATTCAGAAATTTTTACAACACGTTCTTGCAGCATGGCTATAAGCATCACACTGTGTTGCGAATTGGAAAGGAAATATATCATGAAATGGGCACTCCCTGAGGAAAGTGATGGTCATATTCTGTTTCAGTCTATTTAGGACTGTGCTGGGAGAGGGAGGGGGGGGGGGGCAGCCTTGCCTTGTCTCGCTTACTGTGGTTTGTCTTGGCCTTTGCGGAATGTTGCACATCGGTTGCTATGTACGCACCTGTGTTTCTGTTTCGGATGTGGACTTGTTGGAAGCATGTGAGCACCAGACTGTTTTTCCTAAGTATGCACATGTTATTCTAAAAGACGTTTTCTCCTCCTTCCCAGGGCATCCAGCTCCTGCCAGAATGGGTGCATTGCGTCACTGATGAGGTCGTCATGGTTGTTGGGTCTAAGGTGAGACATGTCATAGTTGAAGCCCTGCGTCGTGTGACTCATTCACTGTGGCGCCTTGGTTCCTCAACAGGCCTGTGTGCTTTGATGTAGTCCTCATCAATGTTTTACCAAATCCATGGCGTTTGACTGTGTGGGACTAAAATGGCATGTAGGTTCCAATGATGCACTGTAAATGTGTACTTCGTACACGTGCATAAGCAATAGGACTGGACTCAGTAGAACAAGAGTTAACCTGCAGAGCCCAGAGATGATCGGAGGGACCATGTTCAACAAGCCAAAGATCAAATTTCAAGCCCTTGCACCATAACAAGTCTGATTAACAGGCAAGCTAGACTTTTGGTTTGAAACATGGTGCCAGGTTGAATGAATAAGGTGCAACACCCTGCCAGGAGTATACTTGATAAAAATCATGCTGCATAATAATTGTTGCACTGCACAGGCTTCCAATGAGCTTGGAGCATGCTTGGGCACCTCCTTAAGCACCTGGCAGTGGGTTCAATCAGCACCAGTGGCACTATCAAAATCATGGGATGATTAACAACCATTGCACTACAACATCCCACAGAAGTGTTGTTAATCGTGTTTAGCATCATGGCATCTTTGCAGGTCGTCGTTGCATAGGCATCAACTTGCAATTCCTGCAATGTCACACATGACAGAATGGCCAACGTACTTGGAGCTAAAATATGTGAAATGACCAACCTCAGATGCAACCCCTGTGACACCTATCATATTACCAGAAGTAAGTGACCTCAATGTTAAACATGCTTCTCAATATTTTTCTTTAATCACAGAACCTGGTCAGGCTGCATATGCACATATTCAATTTATTTCGTAGTGCCTCAAGAAATGGCCAGGAAATGTTGCACCAGTCCAGCATGAAAGCCACTGAGTCCAACTTCCTGAGCAGCCAAAGATGGACAAAGACAAGACAGTATCCTGCAATGCATTGATGGCGCAGTGAGATTTGTGATGCATCAAGGGGAATTCAAACATCGCAGTCAGGCAAGAAAGTGCGCTATGACGTTGAATTAATTGGTCAAATGTTTGGAGAAGAACGTGGGCGACCAAAGATCATAAGCACAGGCTTGAAGAATGGAACACATCATTCTACAAGTTTGGCAAAGTGGACATATTCGAGTCTCGCTGTCTGGGGATTCCTACTTTCTTTCGTCCTTCCATTCTTGCGTTGTCAGTGGCAGAGAACACCTGCATGGGTGATACTTTGGTCTGGCCATGCCTCCACTTCAATGGTCGTGAGCTGGAGTATGGTTGGTGCGAAGATTGGGGGACTCAAATCAGGACCAAATGCGTCATTACCCACCTTTGTTGTATTGTGATCAGAGAGGAGGCAGCCACCATGCATCTGTATCATCGTCCCTTAACTCTATGGGTGGTGGCAACAGCACATTCCAGGAACCAGAGGGTCCCAAGCAAGCTGTCAGGCGTCCAAGAGCACTTCCACAAGGATGGAGTGATCAGAACGTAAGCTGCACGTGCTGTCCCTGGTTCATTGCATTTGCACACACTTTTTGCACCATGGTTCTGTCAGAACTTATCTGCAGACAGTAACTTTTGTGCATTTGTAGGTCTAAACGATAACACAACATCGCTTGCACCTGCTCAACCAAACTCAGAATTGGTGTGCTAGGAAACTGTCCTTGCTGCAAAACAATTCAAAAACCGAAATGTTTCAGATGCCCATCTTCTTTCGATCGTTTCTTTGACTCGTTCGCTGCAGGAAGGGCAAGTGGGATGTGTGCTGCATTCATGGACGTCTGAGAGGGAATTGGTGCTGTGGGATGTTTAGCCTCCATCTCCTTTGTAGGCACTTGCCATTTCAAACTAAGCAACAGACATCTTATTCAAGTGCTTGTTTGGTTTTGGCTCGCACAGACCAGTTTCTGTGAATGCCAAGCTATCCATTTCAGGGCTGTAAGATGTGTCACTCAGGATATATGGCCTTGGAGGTGAGGTGCACTTGATGACTGCTTGAATATCTCGTATTTGGAGATTTGGTGCTATGGTTTCTCCACAATGCACTGGCTGCCCTTGCACACATCACCCTGGCTCACATTTGGTCTCTGCATCGCCAGCTTCCTTTGTGGGGGCGAGCACATCACGAAATGAGGCCTATGAGTGAACAAACACACAAATTTGGATTGTCATGTGTGCTGGGCAAACCTGCAAAGTACAAAGACACTACGTTTCCAAGCATAGCTGAACATGAATCATAATGTTTTCTTCAGGATTCTGAGGTGGGTGGATCATCTCATGGTGCTCTGGCTGGGTCCACATCCCCATCTGACGTGGCCATCAATATGGGGTCTCGTGGGTTGGACCGATGCATGTCCTACAACACTGTCAAGACACGCTACCGTGGCAGGAAGCTTACCAGGTTCCCGTCACTCTACACTTGGAACAAACAGGTACTGCAACTGCAGAAAATTGGGTGACATTGCTGAAATGTACTGAACTGCGTGTCATGGCACTCCTTGGGATGGCTGTGAAACTTCATGCAGATGGATGAAGTTTTGAGTGCGGTCAATGCATGTGTTGTACAGTCTGAGGCTGCAATGGTGGCAGTTGCAATTCGGGTAGGACAGCATGGGACATGTTGCTGAGTAGTTTGTTGCTGCACTCATGAAAGCCACCAGCTGGAGAAAAAATAATCAGTGGCCAGCAAATGCTCCTGAAGGGTAGAGATGTCAATTGTTGTCTGCAAGGTTTGAAAGGGGTGGCTTCTGCTTGTGCTGACACAGTGCTTCATTTACCTTGTTAATGGCCTCTTTTGCTCAGTCTCCCAAATTATATGAAACAAAATGTCGCATCTTTCAATAATTGAAAGTCATATCATTTCCACTGTTGAGAGAATCTTGTGTGCTTAAGGTTTGTTTAGTAGATTTCCCTGAAAGCAAGCTGTGGGATTTAGCATGTGTGTACCAGGTTAAGGAAAATAGCCACTGTTGAACTAATATGGCTGGCTTCTATGCAGGAATGAGTGATGAGTTGCAGTGATGAACTGTCACCAGCTAGATGACAATAGTCTCAATGCTGTTCACCTTTTGCTTGTATGTGTTTTGCAGCTTGTGGCTGAAGCTCGAGCAAGGTTTGTGACAGGCATCAAGCACAGCTTTTGTGAACGGAGGAATCTTGGCCTCATATCCAGTCGCGTAAGTCCACCAATCGCGATTTTGACCTTCTGGTTCTCAGCTTGTCACATTTATTATGCAGCTCATGTGTGTTTCAGCACATTCAGCAGTCGCTGTGTCAGCTGTGAAGATCTGCACATTGTAGTTTGCAAACCAGATTTCCCAGGTGCATATTTCAACATCCACTGTATCCTCTATCCTGGGAGAATCCTATTGAGAGTAATTCCCAGAGCTGTGGGGCTGAAACTGGCAGAACTGTGAATCACAAAACAGGAATCCCCTTGTCGACAGCGAATCCTTGCATTCATGAATGTCTGCAACAGATCTGCCAAAGAGGAAAGCAGCGCATGGTGTGGGCCACTGCTCAGCTAGTTTCGATGAACATCTCGTCAAACTAAGCACAGGCTAGGTTGCTGTCGAAGAGCAGCAAATTACTACACATGGACTTCAAATTAATGGACGTCTTTCCTGGCAATTTTCCAATGCCGCAAAGGTGCATCATATAGTTATTGAGCTAGAGTCTCTTGACAGCTACAGATCTGGTTGTTGTCAACTGGGATGGATGCTGACCTTTGCTGCAGGGTCTAAGGGTGCTGGAATGGGCTTGCGATGTGACCATCGAGAGGTCAGATGAACCCCTGGGGATTTGGTCACTAATGTTCGATGACGTCTGCAAGCAGCTTTGGACGGTGATCTTGTCAAAGTTGGCATACGTTTTGCGGAGGATGATTTTGGGCGTCAGAACGGCTCCAGTGTGCTTCCGTTATCCTTGGCTTCCTATCCTCAAGTAAGCATGAACTATCATTGGGTATGGACTCAGCTTCGCACTGTTTGCTCAGAATTGTTGTCACCGTGTCCACTTAAGAACATGCAGTGTAAAGGCATGTGCAGCCACACATGTAGGAATGGACGTGCCCATAGTCCAAATGGTTGACAAATCTGCCCCATATTGGTTGTTCACCACGATATCCATGAATCTACAGTGGTTCTGTTGTATTGACGTTTTGGGTAGGTGGGAGCATTTGTAGCTCAGAAGGTGTTGTGGCGCCGTATTAAATATTAATATACATATTTTAGTACGTATATATTAAATATTACATATACATTATTCTATTTAGAATGTCCCTGGCGTCAATATTCTTTATTCTTTATTCAAAGGCAGCTACTTTGTTGCAACACACTCCTGGTCCTTGCACTGTGAGCATTGAGGGTTTTTGTTGGATTTTCTGTATTCTTCAGCTATCTTCAAAGCATGGTAAACCGTGTTGTGAACGACCGACTTTTCTTGGCCCTTGAGCTGGCGATCGAGTACTGGCTTGCGCTCAAGGCATACAAGGCACAAATATCCTTGTGTGGGGCAGAGTCCAATGCGCAAATTTTCGATGCTGAAATCAAGAAAGAGGCCACGGAGGTGGGGCACACAGGGGCTTTCAGGGTTGACTGCGTGTCCTTTGCTCCAGTTGCACTTCTCTAAGAAGCTGTGATCTGCTCTGGCTGTGCATGCATGCAACCATTTGTTGCGCCGTGTTGTTTGTCGTTGGATTTGTGTGGTTGCGTGGCATTGCAAAGATCGTAATGTTGTCCAAGTTGAGCTTGGCTGGGCTGGTTGCCCACCTTTTGTGGAGTGTCTGATGGATCCAAATTTTCTTGTCGCGCTTTCCAACAAATCTAGCCCCAACAACAGCTCGTAAACTCAACAGTATTGACACTCTCACATACTATTCTGGTGCATGCAGGTGGTTGTCCAAGTTGAGCTTGGCTGGGCTGGTTGCCCACCTTTTGTGGAGTGTCTGATGGATCCAAATTTTGTTGTCGCGCTTTCCAACAAATCTAGCCCCAACAACAGCTCGTAAACTCAACAGTATTGACACTCTCACATACTATTCTGGTGCATGCAGGTGGTTGCATATGTGTATAGGTAGTTGGGGATCACAAGTGCAAGAGCACCTGCTGAAGAGCGCCAGCAATGTGGCAATGCCTGCTAACTACTACGATAAATGGCTCCTTTACCTTTCTTGTGTTCTCTGTGTCCTGCAAGTTTGGCATTGTTCCAGTCTCTGTATGTCATGCTCAATATCAGCTTAGCAAGGGTGTTGAACAAGGCGCACTGGTACCAGTCGCCCCACACAGTCCTTGGGCAGAGGAGCTGCAAGTACGTTTGTGCACTAGATTGACTGATCAAGGAACATGTCTGCAGGTTTGGCAGTTCATCATCGACAGAGAGATCGAAGCTCCTGAGCGCTTCCAGGCCATCCAGACATTCCGTACAATTGTGGCTGTCCTTAGGCAGCAGCGTGTGTACATCCATCAACTGCACATGAATGGGATGATCCAGGAGAGACAGGAGACAAAGATGCGCGAAGAACTGGATCTGAAGATTAGAATACTGTACAGGAGGGGTCCCAGATGGAAGACACCACTGGCGTCTGAGGTCCTTCGAACTGTCGACTTCTTGGCAGATGCGCCTCAGGTGGATCTTGCATCCACAGCAATTTGCTACGCCTTCTTCAAAACCTGGACATAAGAATTTCTAGCTTTAAGTAATGATGTGGGTGTCTATGTCGCCTGCCCAGGTCCTGCCAAAGCCATGGACCTGTGCTGGTGTTGACCATACTCCTTTCCACAATCGCAGCCAGGTCCCATGCTTTTGAAAAGAAGATCCTGTACTCATTGCCTTGATTGTGCTAGGATGTGCCCAACCCATGAACTTGCCAACCCTTTCAAAACACCTGGCAATATTTTTGCAGAACCCTTTGTCGGATTTCTATGTTGCTAGGCCAGCAGGCAGCAGTCCAGATTTTCAAATTTTCCAAGCTAATGTGACCCTTGCCTGCTGTTTCATTCATCAGCAAGCTTCACAACAAGGTGAAGCCCATGTGCATGAAGCCTGTACCAAAGGAAATACCTCAAAGGAGCTGGTATGTCACTGGAGACCAATGCTGGGGATTCCATTCTGACGGGGTTGTGCACTCGCTAAGCAGGCAGTTTTTGAGCGCATTCTTGCCAGCGGCCACCTGTGGCTTTACTCAGAAGGCAAACACCTTGCAGAGGGAAGCCTGCACATCATCATTAGTGGCCTTCTTCGAGGCACTTTCGTAAACAGGTGTGTGGTGGGGAGAACTGCATTGATTATACTGTTGGTTTGTGTTGTGGTGGTTGTGCTGAAGTCTCACAAACAAAGTGTGTCACAAGTCAGTCGAGTTGGAACAAACTAGACCTGTTGACATCATATGGGTTCATTTCTCATACATAGTGTTCACTGGCAGCATGATTGATAATGTGGACAACACGGGCACAACCGCTGAGTGTGCTGAAGTGATGTCATAAAGACATAAATGTGTGTTTATTCAATGGCAGCGAATCTACCCAAATCAATACTACCTCGCTTCCCAGAGTCCTGTCTGTTATCCAAATCAAGCAAGTGGAGGTCAAAACTTGCAAGTCGAAGAATTCTACCAAAACAACTTCAACTCGCCATGTTGATAGCTATCTAAAGAGCCCTTTAGCGTGGAAAACGGTAATGCCGTTCTTGAGATATGCTACGAGGAGCACAGGCGCCGCTTTTCCTTTCATCGGGACCTAGAACAGGGTATGGGGAGCGAGTTTTGCCCTTTGAAGGAGGTGGATCGAGCTGAGTCAACTCTAGGGAATATGAATGGCCTGGTGGTTTGGTATACAATGAAGATTCGGCCAAATTCAAAACTGAATCCACAAAGCAAAAGATGCGGCTTTGCCGCAGATTCTGGGATGTCAACAGGAATTGTGCGTGTTTTGTGGCTGAAGGCCAATAGACACCTAGATTAGTGCAATAGCATTGACCTCACCGGTGCAACAAGGTTAGGAAGGCCGTGCATACTAATGCTAACCCGAGAACGGCCTAGGTTGGTGACAACTTGGCAAATCGTTAAAATTGACAATTTTAAGGCATGAGTCAACATGGGGGAGGAGATGGTCCACAGAGAATGTGACTGCCATGATGCAAACTCTGGAAAGTTTATAGCATTGCCTGTTATTGCCTACAACAAAGTTCTTGAATAATTTTGGGAAATAGGCTGACAAGCATGGGGGGGATAAGGTGAGCACAAAACTATGGGAATCGAGGCCCTGACGATGATGTATAGGGACGCTTTCGACAAGGCTGTGCAAGTCTTGCTGTATGATGATCACTAATGTAACCAAGATTCCCGTTGCCCCAAAATCGACCAAGGAATCCGAATATGGTGATAGATTTACTAATTGAGCTGATATTGCAAAGTAATGGCAAGATTAGATAACGGACAAGATTTATGGAACAGAGGTAGTGCTTCATGGTATTATTTCATGAAGTCCATGGAACTGGCCCCCAACCCACCCCTTTGGCCCTGTTGGCCCCCGTTTGCAGCTGTATGCACTCTTTCATGTGGGCTGAGTCCAGGTGTGTCATGGACACAGCCAAGGCACCGAACGCGAATTCTACCTTGGGCATGGTGGTGTCCTTGGCTTGCTCACAGCGCTGATCGGTGGACGCTATGAAGGCATGGGGCCCATCTTTGCAGAGAAGAACGCCCTCGGGCGGGGGCCAATCATCCTGACCCTGCCTCCCACCATTCTGAAGTACATCCGCAGGAAGGCTGCTGGTGGGGACATGATTTACCAGCATCTCCAACTGAACATGTTTCGAAGCGCCGCACTACACCTCTTGGAGGTGCTGCAGGAGGACATTGTGGAGGCAGCGGCTGGAGCAATAATGAACTCGCAGGTCAGTGGCCAGGGCTTATTGGGGCTGGGGACTATTGCACTTGTGTGTGTTCTAGTTCCTTGTCTATTCTGAATTCTTTGGATCAAGTGTAAATTCTAGCGATGCGGGGCTTTCTTGGGCAGCAGCTGATGGTCCCTGTCCTGGCTGAGGACAAGTTTGGACACATCATACACACTGACATATATGCCTTGTCCCTGTCCTTTTTCACAACGCAGTTGCAGGAAGACTTGCTCGTTCAGCAGCAAGAGCTGGGTAAGATGGTAGGCAACCATGTGATTGAACAGGTTGAAAGCATCCTAGCATGGGCTCTGCATACAGGATATGCATTGCGCTTGTGCCAGCAATGAAGTATGCTCACCACACTGCGGATACACACTCCTGAGCAGCAGGATCACTGAAGTTGTTTACTGTGGTGTAGCAATAATGTCAATGTTTGAGTGCAATTGAAAAACCCAACGGGAAAACACAGTGCCACGGAACAAGACGGATTACAACAGAAGGAAGCAACATGACATGCTTGCATACCTGCCGATGCATTGCAACACAGTAGTTATGTCATGTGTCCTTTCTTGAAAGCCAAGCTGACACATTGCCATATTGTGATGGTCTGCAGTGATCTCGTAAGATGCAGATATCCCCATGCCATATGGCATTCCTGCACTGATCTTCCCTTGTGTGGGTTCCCTTGCCCCCAACAGCTGCCCCCATCCTGGGCCCCATGGCAAAAGCGAGTTGGGCCAACACAAAGGAGCTGTTTTCATGCATTGTTCAATTTTGAATGTCACTGCATGCCCCTGTGCATGTTGTTCAGAAACAACTCTGAGTCCTGGATTGGTAGGCTTTTCAAGCTTGATAACAAGTTTAGCTTTTGCTGCAAAATTGTTGTGTGGGACGGAATGATGTGTTTAAGCTACGCCAGCATCTTGGATCACACATTGTAGGCTTCCTGGTTTCCTGGCCACTGCCAAATGCCCACATCCACTGGCCTCGATGAAAGTTTGCATGACAGCCAGAAGGGTAACAGTGGTGCTGTAGCTGTGGAAGCATATCATTCTGATATGATCGTCAAACAAAAAGACTGTTGAGAGGTGCCTTTGGCTCTGACTGTAGGATGGTGAAGAGGCTCCAAGTAGCAAGCCTTTGATTGGAGACACCAAGCACAAGGAAGCGCCCACCACGAGTAATCTCAGGGATATGATGCAATCGCACCTAAGGAGTGCTCTGTTGGAGGCGGTAGGGTGACGTCTCTGCTGAAGTTGTCTAGCCTCATCTGTCAAGACAGTTCTGTTAAGATGCTATGGATCTGGCCAGTTGCTGGAAGTTGTTTGATTGTCATAACACAATTGTTTGTGACTACATTCCTGGTGACCACTTACCATGCCCAGGCATCCTTGAGGCAATGAAGGGCAACAATCTGGATATATATGTGGGCAAGTCTGCGTTGGACTTTGTATTGCCACAGCCTGCCTTATTGCCACCTAATCATGTCACTGGATTGCTGTATTGGGCAATCTCCGGCAAACGTGTAATCGTTCCAGGCGATAAGCAGTATAAGCAGTCAACAGCAATCAATCGATGGGGTGGTCACTAGTAACGGAAGGCCAGGAAACACAATCAGCAAATGTCACAGCTGCATTATTGAGGGTGAGAACAGGGTAACAAGGGTGGGGGGCTTAGTTTCAATCACAGCAGTGAATGGGACATCTGCGATTCTCACAAAAGATGTCCTCCTGAATCCGTCATAGAGGCAGTGCTATGGGCTTTCTGTGCTTCTGCCAGGATGACATGAACGACGATGTAACGGCATATGAAGCCCCTGAGCCGGGTGCAGTCGTTGTCGACCCAAGCACTGCACAAAATGATGCCATAAAGTTGTACTACGACCAGGGGCACAAAGGCAGGTCGCTGTTGCCAATAATACAGAGTACCTGCACAGGTCTTGTTCAGCTGGTGTCTCTAGATAAAAAAAACAGGGCATGTTGCTCCAATGTTTGCTGCACATGAACATTGGCATATGCGTGTCTGAGAGGATTTGTGCTTTGCCACCCTATGGGATTGCGAATGTTGTTAGTTACCGGCAGTTTAGGAGCACCAGGAGTTTGAATGCTGTGTTCATGTGCGGCTGTACATTATTCAGGAAGAGAGGTTACAGATGCAAGTGGGTGTAGTTCCTTCTCATGGCCCCAAACTTTGTCTGGTTTGCCAAGCTCATGACCCTTGCTATTGCAGCAAGTGACTGAAGGGCTGTCCAGGCCAACATGGAGCGCATCTTCCCCGAATGAAATTGCAGAGTACAAAATGTTATAATTGTTCTCAAGAGTCGCCGTGTGGCCTAACATGACCTCCTGTTCTGCCAAAGATGGACAACTATTGTGTCATGAGAAGTTGTTTGTCTGTCTTGTTAGTTTTAGATATAGGTCATGGTTGGCCTAGAGATGTTTGAGGTGGGCTATTTTCTATGTTGCTGATATCACATTTCAGTGTTCTTGTGGGTCATGTCCCCATGACCATTCTTTAAATATTGGTTGGACATCAAGAGACACTGTAACTTCCCATTTTCCTTTCGTCTGAGGTGGGCATTGCCTATGTATAAGGGAGTATCCATGTTGTGAATGTATTGATAAACGACAGGCACCAAATGTACAAATGATGCTATCTAGTGGAGTAAACATCCATGTACTGTATTTGACACCAGGAGCAGCTCACACAGCCAGTCCAGTGGAGTTGCCTGGTAGATACCTCAGCCCCAGTCATGGACAAATGTCATGCTCACATGTGTGCTTTATCACAAGTTCATCATTATGTTATGTTCAGTGTTGAAGTCCTAGTCCAATGGATGATCCAGTCCATGAAATGCAGAAACCTTGTGTATGCTCTGCCAACAAGCCACCGTGAACAGAATGGCATTAATACATTACACAACCAAATGGTTGGTACCTTGAAGTATTGCCTTGCTATTTTCAACTTTTCTCTACTTGATATGCTATAATCATCCTTGCCACTATGCTCAACATGCTGGCTTTGTTCCCATCGCGGTTCCCCTGCATGGTAGCTGTTCATCTATCCGGGCGCGGGCGTATCCGATCACCCGCAGGGCGCAAGCGCTCTTAATGCCAAGCGCCCTAACCCCACCGAGGTGCACGGCCAATGATCTCCTCTTGGCGTCAAAAGCCGATTTTCGTTCCCCTTCCCTCTGGCAGCTGAGTGTCTGCTTGCCTGCAGTGTACGAGGACCTTCGCGAGGGACTGTCGGAGGGCGACCTGGTGGTGGCCCCTCCCAAGGGCGTGATCCAGTACAGCAGGGGCATGCTGGTCCTCCAGGGTTCCATCATTGCAATATCGACTTCCGACTCGCCAACACAGCCGTCCGCCGCCGCGCCGGGCGGCGACGACGACGGCGCAGAGGGCGAGGGCGGCTGCGAATTCTGGGCGCCGTGCATCCTGCCGGTGCTGCCCGGGAGCCTGGACGCCACCCCCCGGACCTTCCTGGCGGGCGCCAACGGCGCGATCATCGTCGCGTGCCCGGAAGGCGCGGGCGGCGAAGGCAAGCAGGCAAAGCCCGGCGCAGCATCCAGAGCCTGACGCGGCGGGTGAGGGAGGCGCGGCTCGGGGCGGTGCCGCCCGGTGGGGGACGGACCTCAGGTCACGACACCTGCGGTTGATTTTTTGGTACAGGCAGTCGTAAGCCAACAGCAACTCGTGATTTCACGGTTGTTCGGGTCGCCAATTAATGGGGTTCATCAAAAACGTTAGTGCATAAATGATATCACGCAGCTGGCGACCCGTGAGGTCCAGATTTGGTGCAGAGGGGATATCGACAGCCTCAACACCTCCGCCATACTGAAAATCGTCCAGTAGGCTGGCGCTCAATGAGGCAGAAACCCCAAAACATCAATCAGGGGTGCTCTATACATACCCCAAATACGCCCTGGAGTACTGAGGAACACCCAGGTTGCCACTGGACACGTGCGTTTCTTCAGGGGCTGCCCGCCTGGCGGTCTGCCGTGGATCATGGCGAGACGGATCCAGGAGGGGCGCGTGGAGGCGCCACATGGTTGTTTGATGGGAATATGCCCCGTGGGGCATTACATGGTTGCTGACCACGGGAAGTGTGGTTGTTTGGTGAGAACGTGGCCCTTGGAGCACACGTGGTGGCTGATTGTGGCCAGTGGGGCGTCCTGGGTTGAGTTGTGGTGAAGCGGCGGGCGTGTCAGAAAGATTCTGGGTATCAAAGGAGCATCTCTCAGGCATGGGTGGTACTTTTGCCGGAGGGGTGCGGACAGCACGAAGGGGAACTCTGAATTGTAACAGCGTTTGCGTGGGGTCCATGTGTGTCTCGCGCGGCGGTTTAGGCGCTCGGCCTGGCTGCCTGACTCCCCTGGCCCTGTGCGCGATGTTCGCCACAGCCTGAGCGCAATAGCGCTCGACCTTTTCGAAGGTCACGGCCAGTCTGTGCCTTTTTTGAGCCGCTTTCCTTGCCGCTCAAGACCAGCAGTGCCAACGCGGTTTTGCTGCAGAAGCAACCACCCTTCGTCGCTGCACAGCCTTGTCGAGGCGGACTGAAGTGCTTCCCGTATCATACGCCGACGTGCAGTGGACGAGGCAGCCCTGACCCGCGGACCCGACCTCCGTTTTGACTTCGTCGACCGTTGAGGAGCGGTTGCAACCGATTGCGGCGCTCAGAGCGGCAGCTGTGAGAGGCGCTACAAGCGTACTTGCATGGCTGGCTGGCAGTTGGGGGTTTTGCTACCCGTTTGAAGCTTCTCCTTGCCGTCGCCTCAATTTTGTTGGTCGTGTCGGCATGCCAAGCAGTTCTTCGTGAAGCGCCGGCTCGCGCGAGGGGCGAAGCTTGTTCGTTGAGTGCACCCTCAACTGCTGTGGTGCTGAGGCTGTCGACATGTCTCAGCTGCCCGTTTGAGGGTGGTGTTACTGCGCTATCTCCGGGGACGACGGCCAGAATGGACCGCCGTTCTTTGCATGGTTTCGGAGCGCAAGTTCTGGTCCTGGCCCTGACCGCGAGCTGGGGAGTGGTTGAATTTACGTCTGCTGTGGAACTGCCTGAATCGACAGCGATTTGTGATGATATGGAGGCCAAGGAGGAGCTGGAATGGCAACATCATGCAGCCAGAACGGTGGCGATGTTTGGGGCAGCCAGGGACAAGGAAATCGTGAAGAAGGGCGTGGCTGGAGGTGTGCTTCCTTTGATTGATACTGCGTCTACACCAAAGCAGCTGTGTGGCCTTGAATCAGCGATGATCGCAGTTGCAACTGCACTATGCTTTTCCTGTGGTCTTTGTGCATGCATGTGCACTGGAAATCATGGTCTGCATCGTGGTGAAGCTGACCATGGCGATGGAAGGGAGGCTGAAGTGCTGGATGAATGCATGGAACGCTTTGAAGAGCGACTTCAGAAGCTGACAAGAATCGTTGATCAAAGAGCTTCAAGACACATAGCTGAGATTGTGCAACCATCAAGTGGGCTCCAGGAAGATGTGCTTTCAAGAATATGTCCATTTTGCAAGAGAAGGCTACACAGAATTGAGGAGTGCTGGCATAAACAGCTTCAGGACTACAATCAAGAAGTTCAGCTTGGGCAAGAAGCTATGATGAGAGAGGCAACATCAGCAAATTCGATGGCGCTGCTGAGGAGAACTTCAATGTCCACCAAGCTGATTGTGGGGCATGTCACGTTTGACAAGTGCCTCTTGGATACCAAGTCTCAAGCAAATATCCTTCCAGAGAGGGCCATCATCAAGCACAGTTTTGGCTACACAAGAAATGCTAAGATGCCAAGGTTCATCGCAGTTGATGGGAAGCACAGGAAGGTGACAGGATTTGTTCGAACTTCTGTCACGTTTGGGTGGAAGTTCCGAAAGCAAGGAGCTGATTTTCTGGTGTCTCCTGATGTGAAGTTTCCTATTGTCAGTGGTCGCACACTGGCGTCAGCGTTGATTGGAGTGAATTGCATGACACAGGAGCTCAAGGACATTAGAACGGGAAAGGTTTTGAAGTGTGCAGATTTCAGTGTTAAGGGCAAAAAGAACTGAGCATTTTGTGAAGCAGGAAGCTATCAATGGCGTAGGATTTGTTGATGATTGGGAACCGTATATGCAATGACATCTTTCGTTGGAATGAAATACAGCTGTGTTGAATTTCGCACTGTGGGAAGCAGCTGCATTTTTCAAGCATTCTGCTGTGGCATTTGCGAAGTTGGAATCGGAGAAGTAAGTGAGCTTGAAAGGCAGGCCACTGGAAGTTGTTGGGCATGGAGTGTCCCAAAATGTGCAGTCAGTCGGTAGATTCAAGAGATCTGATGACTGGTGGATGATTGGAGATTTTGCTGGAATTGTGCAAGAATGATGTTGCGCTGTTTCGTGAGAGGATCAGTGATGAGAGCAATGGTGAACGCCCTGGCTATGCTAGGGTCTGATTCTGACTTCGAGGGACCTGAGGAGGTGCGGCCGCTCATTTAGTGGCTCAGTTTTCCGCGGAACTGATCACTGCTGGGTTACACTACGGCGTCACAAGACCTTCCTACTTTGAACTCGGGGGCTCGAGGAATCCTAACTTGGCTGCAAGGGAGAAGGTAATCATTGACTGATTTGCTGTAAATGGACAAAGCTCGTTGGCAAGGGACCGGTTCCGTGCGATGCTCAGGAGGTGTTGCCATGATCCTGAGCTGAATGGGCGAGGACATTTTTTTCTCTGCCGGCAGTTACAGCTGCAAATTTCATTGGAGCACTGGGTATATGGATAGATGTACGATTTTTGGTGATTCTGATTTGGCGCTTCAGAAAGATGAACTGTACGTGCACGTTTTGCATGTCAGACATGATGGAAACAACGAGGATTCATTTCTGGTTGTGTTTGAGAGTTGGTGAAGAGGTTTTGGAAAGCTTCTTAGCTATTGGAAATGTCGATCGAGCCATTGCTTGAGATCGCCACTTTGCGTGCTCAGAGCATTGTGCTCATCAAAATACATGATACTCTGTCTGGCTTCGTTTCTCGCTGGGCAGAGTTAGCGATTGTGTTTGGGAATCACAAAATGTGTTTGTGATCTTGATTGATGCTGAAGTGCAGAAAATGACCTGGAAAATGGGCCCACCACAGTGTGATTTGAAATTCTGATAGCAGAAGAGAAGAGCGGATGATGGATCATCATCTCAGCATGTTTGATTCTGCTGTTGGAGATGATCGGGAATAAGATCCAAAAAGGCGGAGAGGATGGGTTGCGAAGAAGAACATGTTGAATCTGATGACAAGTTGTCAAATATGATGGTTTGAATTTTTCTGACGCAACTTCCGAATAGGGAGATGAGTCGGTGGAGCTGCACCCTTTCAAAGGCCTAGAGAAGCGCTAGAATATGGTGATGATGGTGAACTGCTGATGGTGAAGGCAAGTGCACCTTGCAACAAGGCGTGGTAAAGATTGGGAGATGCAGCTGAAAGGCGATCAATAGTCTATTTGGATAGCGAGCCAATTTCTGATTTGAAGCTCTCAGAACTGCCCCAGGGTGGGCGAGAGACGAATTCAGATGTTCGGAGTTTTACGCAGTGGAGTGGCGAGATTGGGCCCACGTTCGGGTCGCCAATTAATGGGGTTCATCAAAAACGTTAGTGCATAAATGATATCACGCAGCTGGCGACCCGTGAGGTCCAGATTTGGTGCAGAGGGGATGTCGACAGCCTCAACACCTTCGCCATACTGAAAATCGTCCAGTAGGCTGGCGCTCAATGAGGCAGAAACCTCAAAACATCAATCAGGGGTGCTCTATACATACCCCAAATACGCCCTGGAGTACTGAGGAGCACCCAGGTTGCCACTGGACACGTGCGTTTCTTCAGGGGCTGCCCGCCTGGCGGTCTGCGGTGGATCATGGCGAGACGGATCCAGGAGGGGCGCGTGGAGGCGCCACATGGTTGTTTGATGGGAATATGCCCCGGGGGGCATTACATGGTTGCTGACCACGGGAAGTGTGGTTGTTTGGTGAGAATGTGGCCTTTGGGGCACACGTGGTGGCTGATTGTGGCCAGTGGGGCGTCTTGGGTTGAGTTGTGGTGAAGCGGCGGGCGTGTCAAAAAGATTCTGGGTATCAAAAGAGCATCTCTTAGGCATGGGTGGTACTTTTGCTGGAGGGGTGCGGACAGCACGAAGGGGAACTCTGAATTGTAACAGCGTTTGCGTGGGGTCCATGTGTGTCTCGCGCGGCGGTTTAGGCGCTCGGCCTGGCTGCCTGACTCCCCTGTGTGCGATGTTCGCCACAGCCTGAGCGCAATAGCGCTCGACCTTTTCGAAGGTCACGGCCAGTTTGTGCCCTTTCTGAGCTGCTTTCCTTGCCGCTCAAGACCAGCAGTGCCAGCGCGGTTTTGCTGCAGAAGCGACCACCCTTCGTCGCTGCACAGCCTTGTCGAGGCGGACTGAAGTGCTTCCCGTATCATACGCCGACGTGCAGTGGACGAGGCAGCCCTGACCCGCGGACCCGACCTCCGTTTTGACTTCGTCGACCGTTGAGGAGCGGTTGCGACCGATTGCGGCGCTCAGAGCAGCAGCTGTGAGAGGCGCTACAAGCGTACTTGCATGG